TTTGAAAGCTCCGCCCTCTCGAATGCCACGCCCATTTGTAGCACTTTTGTACTAATTACATTAGTTTCACGTGTTCATAGACTTGATTTCACTGGAAAAGAAGACTTCTAACATCTGAAAATCCTCCAAAGAATTTATTATTTTCAAGTAAACAATCATTGCGAATATTTGGGGTAAAAACGAGTACTTATTTAAAGGAAAATGAATGAATACAGAGACAGTGTTTGCCTGCCTCTTATTTCTGATCAGAAGTAGCAGAGAAAATTTCAAGAACACCAGACTGTCATTGTTGCACCATTGAGTGGCCAGAGCTGTGGAGCCAGGGAATGAAGACGTCGTGGTCGGACGCAATCAGTTGCTGCAGTCTGCAGCGGACGCTGGGCAGCAGGCTGTGTGGAATGGTGTGGTCGATGGTGTCTGTTGCTGAGCGATTAACGGCCCAGCTTTCTGCCCCCTCCCCGGAAGGGGTGGCGGGGGTGCGAAATCACTCCTAATGTACGACTGGGTGGAAACATCATTTTCAGGAGGAGACCTCGAGCGAGGAATATGGGAAATCAAGTTTGAGAAATGACCTTACTCCATTTGCACTCCGGGACACTCTCAGACCGAAATCCCTCTGAGGACACCCCAAATATCCCTCTAACAACACCTTAAATATCCAGACCCCATTCACAGGTGCTGGAAATCGTGTCTCTCCATTTAATACCAAGTGTTGGAACATTCTGCAAATTGCAGTCTTCATTAGGAAGAACAACACACTACATATACAGTGCATGGCGATGTGGGAATTTGTGGGAGCAAATTTTCATCATCTTGCACTCTAGACCACGTGGGGTGGATTATGCTTCTCTCCGAAGGGTGGGAAGGTGAACAGAAAATGGACATATGGGGTGTGTTTTCAATAGAAAATCAATTATATGATATGGTAGACATGTTTTGGCTGAAACTTTATAGCCAACTACCATGCACTGCATATAAATTCATGGCTTCACACTGACCATCAACATAAACAGACGGCTGAGAGTGCTGTTGGCCCAAAACATGCTTAATTCTGTGCAACTTTCTTCAATATCATGTTGAGCAACTGCACTTTCTCAAGCACCCAAAACTCTTCCGTACGGATTTTATCGCAAACTTTACATCTTTCTTACTGTGGCTCTGATGCCAACAAAACACCCACAAGCTTCTCGCCCCAGGACTCGCCACATCAACACACATTCATAAGGCTTAATGGACGAAAATAGGAGGTTCTCTTAATGAAAAGCGAGGAAGAGACAGGACAAGAGATATTGACGAGCAATTGGGAATGCAAATCACTGCTTTAGTATCAGAATTTAATTATTAGTACAAAGTAAAATTAAAATGTGAAAATAACATAGTAGCGTTTAAAGTTGGCGTGAAGACGTAGATAATTGTGTGGCAGGTGAAGGAAAACAACGAGAATAGGCGGGGCATTAGAGTGGGCGGAGTTTGTCTGTTTTAAATATTTCCCACGCTGTCATCAAAGTACTTAACGAAAGGCTATTAAAATTTTCCAATCATCTGTGATCAAAAGAGTGCCCATAAAAAAGCTCCTCCATGCAAAAATTCAATTATTTGCGAATTTATTTCCTTCACATTGCAAAGCTTTTGTGATAAATTGAAAGTGTTGCCAATTTGTTGCATTCTATCCCTAAATTGCATTGAGATTGTTGGCGAGGATTTTATTCATTTGCATTTTTTATTGGATCTCACACTTTGTCATTCCCTATTTGGGCTCTTCTTGTGTGGTTATTGGATATTCCCTTTGATGAGTTTTCCATTTGTGTCGCGCAAGAGAAGAACAAGTGTGGGAGTGAAGCGAAAGCACTCAAGCCAGAGACTTAAAGTTGAAACTTTCCAGGGAACTTTTTTCCATACACACTCCCGGAGAAAGCTTATGCATTAATCACATGAATTTAATAGTCTCTTCATCCGCACTCTAGCCATGCTGGACTCTCAAATGGTGACCGAATGTCACATTTGAAGGTTGGGGTTTGCATTAAAAATTCACTACAACACAGTCTATTTAGCCGAGGGAGTCTTATTAGATGAGGGAATGGTTTGCCTCTATCGTGCCGACTAAATTTTATACCACTTCCCACCAAGTTCAACCCATTTAATTACACACCACTTCAGCCCCAAGAAAGTGGGCATTCCGAGAAATGAATCAAGACGAGGGGCGATGGCTGGGAAGCAGAAGGCCCAACTGAGGGGCTGGAAGAAACGTATTGGAAAAGTTTCAAGAAAACTTTCTGGTAACAATCCCATCATTCTTTTACATCGCCAGTAATTTGTGTGTGTTTCTTTCCAGCATCGACAAAGTGCGTGGCTCATTGAGCAACTTAAATGTTTGCCTGACCTCAATAAAAAAAAAGCACGATGAGTAAGACAGTGTTTTTTTCCCACTTGAACCCAGAGAGACTTTTATCTATATTTGAACCCAGAGGAGCTTTTCCAAAGCACAAGCATGTGCATAAAGACGAGAAGATGAGGGAGCAATCTAAAATTCATGAGATTTACACCCTTGAAAATTGAATTAGACAGGGAAAAGATTTGATTTGAATTTTCAAAGCAATTCTCTCACAATTCTATTATATAGCATTAACACATAAAACTCCACAAGGACGGAAAATAAATTAGCACTTCGTAAAGGCGAAACATTCCATCTGAAGGTGTTGAATTACCACTTTGACGTCCGTTTATGCTCCTCTAAACCACAACTAAAAATGCATTCCATCCATTGTCCGTCTCTGCAAACTTTTTGTTTCACCCCTAACTAGGCTAAAATGCTAGCATTATAACCCTAATTAATGCCGTTCCTAAATTACACAAGAGTGTATGCCTTTGAGTGTCACTGCGCATATGCTGATGATGAAATTCAAATAGACATTATTAGCATTTCTCGCAAGTTGAAAAGTAATTAAAAAGTTAAGTACATGTCGAAAGAGCTTTTTTAAATTCATCCCCGGCTGAAAGTCTCCACCCCTTGTGAATAAATTCGGAGATCCGTCAATCCTGCCCCGAACGGGCCACTTGCAGAGAACTTGCGCTAAAAGCTTTCGCTCATTGTGCGATTTGAGCGCTCAACGGCTGTGTGGGTGGGCTTTAGCCGCCCGCGTGTTTGCTTTCGCGATGAGAACCCATCTCGATGGGGTTCCAGGTAAAGCGCTAATGAGACCTCCATATATAAACATCGAAGCGATGCATCGGGCGTTACGTGAATTGCTTCGAAAATTACTTCCTGCATTTCCATATTCCGCCTCCGCGCCCTGAGTCTTGCTGCATGGAAATTTGCGTCAAAAGGGAAGAAATTAACATTGTTAGCACAAAATACTCCCGTTGAGGGGCTAAATAGCAATACAATTTCTCTAATTTGCAGCTTCAACAGTGGCAAGAATTCAACTATCCCTGAGGTCAAGCGCGGCATTGAATGGCGAAGGAAAGAGTGTAGAAGTATCACTCATTGTTCAGTTCATTCCATCAACAAGTCACGTGCTAAAGTCGGGGTTCATTCACATAATTAAAAATTGAAATTGTATTTCCATTCCTCGAGAGCTGGGCAACTGAAGAGCTTTCGATCAATAATTAATCTTTCGGCCTGTAATTCACTATACAAATGGGTGAGTTTGGTCTCCCCCTTTTTCGGGGTGAAGCGCCCCAGAAAGGAGTGTTCGGGCATTTTATAGGTAATTTGACATAACAGTGGGTTCGTGATTGGAAAAAAGGCACCCTCGTGAGTTTCATCCGACGCCACTTTAATTGAACGGGTGAAACTCTTCATTTAAATTCACTCGCCAGCATTGAATTATCTCCCTTTCAGACTGTCTGTTCTTAACCTTTTAGCGGTAAAAATCCCCGTTCGCCTCTCAATTACTTCCAGGAACACCCGGGGAAATGGCAGCAAAAGGGAGAGCAATTAAATTAGAATGGTATTACCACTGTGATTTCCAGCCACACCACCTGACTTTTCCCTGTCGTTCCACGTTGGAAACGGGGTTGGAAATTGTAGAAAAAAGCACCTCTTTAGATGCCATTATAGCAAATTAATTCATTTTCACTCAAGAACAGCGTCATTTATATATTATTCACATTCTAAATATCCTAATTGTCTGGCTAGAATTTAATTAAGACAGCCTGGTTTGGATATATTATTCCCTTTTTTCTCGTTTAGCTTTGAAATCTCATGTTGTCCTCTCGAGAATGATCCGAAAGGAATGAAAGGCTTCATTATCAACTGTTTGACACTAATAGAAGCGACACATATGGAAAAAGGCATAAGTTAGACAATGTGGCTTCCGAAGTTGAGATCCCTGGAGGAACTTGCAGAATATTATCGTTTTTCACCGCGGTTATTCAGAGCGAGAAACTCACTGTCGTGTCTTCAATTGAATCAAAAAGTTCCTCAAGGACTTCCAATGGGAAACTTTTGTGAAATTTAGCAAAATGAGAAGGTGTGAGGCGCTGGAAAAGGAGATTTCGGTGATCCACCCTCGTGAGGTGGATGGAAATTGCTGCTGGGGATCTTGTAGAATGAAAATGACACACTCTTGACTGGCTGACGCAAGAATCTCGGGGTGAAAGTTCTCCGCTTCCCACAGAGTGCAAAAAGTTTCGTCCTGTGACCGCAGGTTGGAGAGCGTCCTCGCCGGGACGGTTACTTAATTGAAAGCTGCATTGGGGATGGCGCGCAGGGGCGGAATCGCCATTTATCCACTTCTTGGGCATCCCAGCGGTGCTCCTTGTTCACGATTTAATGAGGGACCCAACTCATGGCGGGCGTCTCGACGGGAGGCGCTAAAACTGATCCCATTCCGTGTTATTTATTTGTTTACAAGGGTACGGAACGCTTCACAGGCATTAATTACTCCGATTATTCATGCAATGAAATTTGTTGGCAGAATGTATTTAGCGCTCCGACGGTTCCTTCCATCTTCCTCTCCTTGGGGGTGGTCACTGAGCGGGTGAAGGAAAATCTCCCCTTTCCACATTTTCAACAGTTTCTTTATTTATTACTCTTTTCTCTCTATATCGCGCCCTTTCTGGCGCTCTTCCTCCTCACCTTACACCGTCTTTGTGCACTTTCTGCTGCGTCACCGAAAATAAAACCGACCATTCACGTGCAACAGAGGCGTTCTCGCGCGGATCCGCCGGAGCCACGCGTCGCGGGGTGATGAGGAGGCCTTCGGAGTCAGGCGTCAGCAACAATTTGCCCAATTCGTCATCGGCTTTGCCTTTGTGCAGCCTCCACCTCAATTATCACCTGGCCACCGACTGGCTCACAATCACGACAACCGTCGCCAGCAGCGCCACATTGTGCGCTTCCGACGGCGGCGCGGACGACTCGTGCTGCATGGCGGCACTGTTCTCGTCCTTAATCACGTGCACGAGCACGCTGGCCGCGTCCGTGGCGCTGTTGCCCAACGGGAAGCAGCTGTAGTTGCCGGCGTCGCGCGTCGAGACGCGGCTCATGAGCAGCTGACTCGTGCGGACGCGCCGCTCCGTGAGGACGCTGACGCCGCCGCGCCGCGAGAAGTCCAGCGGCCGGCCGTTTCTGGCCCAGTGCAGCTCGATGGGCGCTGGCGCAGCCTCCACCACGCACGTGAGGTTCACGTCGCTGCCGCCGCGCACGAACACTTCGCGGCTGCCCAGAATGCGCGCCTGACTCGCTGCAAGAGGGAATCAGAACATGAGAAGGTTCAGGATGTGTATGGAGTTTTTGGTCTGATTATACGTAAAATTTGAGCCCCTGGAATATTCTTAAACAATTAAAAAAAAAAATCTGTGACTACGATTTCAGTTTTGCGTCTATTTTTAGCAGCACGATTACTCTGATAATCTAAATAACTTTTGTAAAAATTCATTTTTTTCTTACTTCTTTCAATATAAGAGTCAGAAATTTTGTTCTCCAGTAAAATACAATAATTCATTGGCTGTATATAGCGAAATATATATGTAAAGTTGTACTCAAGGTTGCGTCGTTTATTAAAAATGCGCAACAGCGTAAGATTAAATACATTTGAGAAAATGTTTGATCATTGCTCAGCAAAGAAATTAATTAGGCACTAGAAATATCGTGATAATTTAGCCAATTTGCATTACAAAAGTATGTACTGAAACCATAAATGAAAATGTTGTAGGAAGCAACACAGAAATTCTTATGTGTATAAAAGAATTCTAGATTGTGCCTTTGCCGAAAGATTGAATTTATCAATCAAAAGACACTCTGAGTGTGCAGTCATGCGTATATTTTCAACTATTTCATGGAAAATCGCTTCTGTGGTATTTGAACAAAATTTTCCGGACCCTGAAAGCTGAACTCTGTCCGTTACGCCCAGAGTTTATTCACCTGACCAAAAGCCTGTGAGATTGAAATCTGTTGCGTACGCATTGAACTACAAAACTGTAAGTGGACACGCACCCACGACGTTGAGGTGGATGCCGAGGCTGATCTTGGGGTCGATGGAGATCTGGCACTCGTACACGCCGGAGTCGGCGGGGCGCGCGGCGCGGATCCGCAGCGTCCAGTCGTCGGAGCCCTCGGAGTGCTCGGCCTGGAAGCGCGGGTCGTTGGTGTAGGTCATGATGCCGATGGCCAGGATGTGCAGGTCGCGGCGGCGGATCCACGACACGGCGCGGTCGCCGATGTTGCGCACGCGGCAGCGCAGCATGGCCGGGTAGCCGGCCGCCGCGGTCACCTCGCGCACGGTGGCGTCGTCGAAGTACGGCGGCTGCTCCCACACGCTCTCCTCGAAGCCCATCAGCGAGGCCTCGGCGGCCGCGAGCGCCAGGACGGCCAGCAGGGCCGCGATGCGTCGCATGACGCCTACCGCGGGCGCGGGTCACTCACCATCACGCTCACTCACTGTCACAGGCGCGGAGGCGAAGCTCTGCTGCTCCACCGGGAAATGCGGCACGACTGACGACGCTGGCTCACTCTGCTCGCGGGCCAGCCTCTCCACGCCACGCTGGACGGAACCTGCGCACGGCCGCCCTTCCAGCGGGGCGCTGGAAAGGCGCACCCCTCCGTGAGGCTCATCGTGGTGAATCTTATGACGCGGTGGCCTGTTGTCTTGCCAAATTTGTGCTTTTTATCTCTGCATGTGGAATTGAATGAGCCCAAAATTGTGCCGAGAGGAAGTCTTTGTCATGTGGAACAGAAGCTGATAGGCCGGACTGAATGTGGAATTCGCCGAATTGTCACAACATTTGTCTGATTTCATTTATTCGGCACAATTTATTCCTATTCACGCGAGCTGTGCCAGTGACAAGGCAAATAAACTTGTGACGAGGGACGCCCGCTCAGTGCAATCTCATGGGATGCAGGCGTCCCGATCGATGCTCATATCCGGGCTATCCAGGTCATCATCATCATTTTACCGTGGGGACGCTCCCCTAAAACTCATGGCTCTAAACAAAACACCTCGTTAGTGGACGCCTCAGTCGACGATACCTTAAACTCGGTGAAGTCCTGCCGAATGAAAGCGACGTTATTGCACACGAGAGGGTTCAACTTGACTGGGAAACTCGATGCACATGCTGAGAGAGAGAGATATTCATGGAATATTGCAACCATTGCAAACTGCAATAAAACTACGGTTGCAAAACTTTCACTCAGTCACCTTTTATATCCTAACTAAACGTACCGGCTCTCGTGTTTCGCCACGAGCATCGCGCTGCAAAAAGAGCGCAAAAGAACGTTGATAAGCACCCGCCTTGCCTAGCTTGTGGAAGAGTTGGGATTTTTGGAGCCAAGTGGCCAGAAAGCTCTCTAATCTCACATATCACAGACTCAGTATTTGGAAAGTAGTCGGTTTTTTGTATGTGAATGAGGGAAATACTCAAAATATTCGTGAGTCTCGCGTGTCTTGATGTCTTATTTGGGGCTTTCGTGATGTATTTAACACGATTCTCACTCTTTTCTTCCCCATTTCTCTCTTTGACTCACTCAATTGTTCAGTTGATCACAGAAGTTTGCTGCACAAGAATTCCCAGCTTTCAGCATTTTTTATTCAAAGGCGAGGGTGGAAGAATAATTTGCCACGCTGGGAGGGTGAAATAGAGCAGCTACAGCTCTCTCTCACCTCATAACGAAGCTCAATATCACAGCCATGGTTCCCAACTGTCTGAGCTGGCGTGTCATCTCATGAAAAACTAATTAGCCCTAAGTTGGATTCCTTGTAGAAGCATCTGACAAGCAGCGTAGTGCTGTGTATTAAGCTGTTTGCATCCAACAATCGCCGCCAGGAATGGGAAAACTCCCACATTTCGATGGGGTTTTGTATTTACAAATTTCATTTACTGACATACCCGCGACGAGAGTCCTCGACAATGCGCTTTGTGGTGCCTGAGCTTCTCTCTTTTCAGTCTTTGTGTCACAGCCAAACACTCTCCCTCGGCCCACTGAGCACACCCTCTCAGCTTCGGCGATGAGCCCCAGTGTAAATGTCGCGAAATTCGCCGCTTTTTCCGCGACGTGATCTCGCCACTCGCCAAGAATCAAATTACACGCACCATCCGCGGGAGCTTTTCCACGAAATTGATTAATAGCGGAGAAAAAATCCCCCTCTTAAGTTATTTATCACAGAAAGTCATTAGGAGGATTTATATTCTGCTCTTGCGACTGAGAGCGGAAAAATGCGCAGAATGCAGCCAGCGAATACTTTGGCGGGGTGGATTTGGGAATAATTAATAATATGGTCTCAGCTCTATAATCTCGAAGCGGATGGAATTTATCGAGACTTTTGCTACATTGTTGTATTTGGATTATTCGGAATGTTTGTATAATTTACTGGGGGATGTTTTAGGGGTGGATTAAAATGCTCTTAAAAACGATATTCACTAAAGAATTGCAGTGAAATCTTTTCCAATAGACAAAATCATCTTCCCTCTGACTACCTTTGACGGTGGAAAATTCTTCACAACAATACATAAGTAAGTGGAAATCACTGCAACTTTGGAACGTGAATTCATTATATTTGTATAGGTTAACAAATCTGTAAAAATGGTTAAGAAAAATTTCAAAGAAGAGAAAGGAAAGATCATAATTTCTACCCCTCAAAATCAGAGAATTGAAGCTTTTCTCTGGGATCACTTTGCTAAACTGGTTGTTATGCTTCTTCTTGGAAGTTCCCAAACACTTTATGGTGATTTTTCTCCCTGAAAAGTCTTGGTTGCACTCGCGGTGAATGGTGAAATCTCTTGTGCTCTCTCACAATATTCATATTATAGAAAAGGTTGCGAGTATTTTTGGAGGACAATAGCGTATGTATCTAGTCTGTTGATTTTTATGACCATTATTTACTGCCTCGGATGTTTGCCACCCACCGCCCACTGACATACACAAATATGTGGAGGACTGTGGTGTTGCCCATATTCATGTGCGGTGTCATTTACAATGAATTATGCGCTGTAATTCCAACTCACACACACACATTTCGGGCAGCAAGAGGCCTTCGATGCTGGGCCACCCAATACTCCACGCCCATGCAGGGTGGGGTGGGACTGTGAATACTTGAGCATAGAATTTACTTTAGAATAGTCACTTTCTCACCCCCTCTCGTCGCACAATAAACTTTCGTTCTGGGGCGAGAGCTGAAAGGGAGTACAATGAGCGTTGGCACAAAATATCAAGGAAGTATGCTTTGTGGCCGGAAAATTATGTTATTTTCATTTGCTTATATTTGCAACAATAAACACACAGAACTCTATATATGGATGAGATATATAGCATTTTCCTTGTTAATTAAATTTTCATACAATTGCGACCAGCCAAAATGGTGGAACGACAAAAAAGTCGGGCTTCAATGGGGAGTCTTTTCTTGCGCTTTCCCAGGAGGATGTGGAAGGCATAGAGGCTGTAGAAAGGCAAAATTAATTATTAAAGAATTTCAAACAGAGCTTAAAGAGTCTGCACACAACACACAAGACACTCTTCTTTTGTGACTTTAGGAATTGCTTGAAGGTGTGTGTCCATTATGCAGGATTTCCCATGAAAGTTAAATTTAAGGTTGGCACAATTTAGTAAATGTGAAGCAGGAGAAAATCCATAAACTTTTTCCCCAGCACTCTGGTATCATGATTTCCATTCGTCCAGAGTATATGCTAATCTTCTCTAAACCGCACGGCACATTTTAATCTAATTGATAATCTGCTCAAGAGCCAAACTCGGACGATGCATGGGTGGAATTCAAATGATGGCATTTTGTGGTGCACAATTTCCTGCAATCGATGCAGAATTCCTCATGAAAATGCTACAAGAAATTTATTGTATTGTTTCCCTCCAAGACACTTTTTCCCGCATCCGCAAGAGCGTGATGAAAAAGAGGGTGGAAAAAAATTTCAATTAACATCCATTCCCAGTGAGAAAAAGAACTTCACCCTCGTGATAAATACATTACCGCACTCCGTGCAATGTAATTTCTTGACCATTAAGTGGCAGAATATATCGGGAAATGAATCACACGAGATTGCATTTGTGGGCGAATTTTAATGACATTAAGTCACTCAATGCTAAATGGTCCATCGCGAGGTCGACTTCCTGCGGAAGCAGTGAAGGATGAAGCAATAAAATGCACAAATCGATGAGAAGACTTGTGGAGAAGAAAAAAAAAGATGCCTTGCAATAAGAGAAACGCCTTTTTATTTGCGTGGGAGAGTGTCTTTTATCTTCCGACAGGAGAGGAAAACAATAAAAGAGTCGTATAAAATTTTATTGGTTTGAATTCACGCAATTCACTTGTTATTAATGAAATTGAAAGTAAAAATGCGATCAATTTTTAACGCTTTTCTCATTTGTTGCCTTTTGTCTTCATCGCTTTTCCTTTGCGACGGTGCGGGGAAAGAGGCCATCAATGGGCGGAAGCTCTATGGTGATTTCCCAATGATCTCCACGCGAGAGAGCTTTCCCGATGATGCGCTCTATAAATTTATTATTATTGTGTGCGGATTTAGGGTGGGAAATGAGGTTTCACCTCCCCGACGAAGACGCTGGTTATGGGTGGTTTTATTGTCATGATTTACAATTGTCTGCGCAAATTAATTTAGCGACTCTTTTGCAGGCAATCGCAGTGAATGTTGCAATAGACAATTATGCAATTGTGCGAGCTTTAGATGACGAGACAGTGTTTAATTAAAGTCATAATCACCCAGTGTTTTCGCCATCAGTTAAAGTGTGCTCAGAAAGTCATTTGCGAAAATTGTAGCATCAATTTCCCAAGCAGCGAATATCATCAGTGATATTTGCCCGCATATTAAAGAGTGAAATGACTTTCGATTTGCGCGGCGCGCGTGTGAAGAACTATTTAGAGGAAGTGTGAAGGCGGAAGAAAGGCGAAAGATAATCAGAATAAAATCCACCCAATGGAGCTATTAAGCACGTTTATGGGGGTGTAATGGCGGATGAGGGGCCAGAGTTTGGCCACCTTGGCGAGGTCACAGAGCTTGTCCGTGGAACATGTGTTTCTCCCACTACAGCATATTTAATATTTATGCAAAATATGTCAGAGAGAGATGATCCTGGGGAGCAAAAAAGGCGCGCACACACACGCTTTTTGCAGACTCTGTCAGGGGTTTGTGGAGTGTTCCAGAGTCTGTCGCAGAGCTTCTTCAATATTTCATTTCTTTTGCACCACACACACCCTCACGCCGCCCCCATGGGAGGGCATTCTGACCCCCGGTGTCACAGTGTGTGCCGTAACTCTCTGTCGGATTTATTATTTAATTAATTTCCCACCGTCTGGGAAAAAGAAGCGCGCCGAAAGGACACAAACACAGTGAGGAGAGGGTGGGAAATCGATCCGCGACGCCATCATATTCCAATGAGGAGGTGAGCTTTGGAGAAAGTTTCGGGGGCGCAAATCGTGACTTGGAAGCTCTTGGGAGGCTGAGAAGAGCACT